AAAAATTAACAACAATTGAATCAAAATTAAACCCCCCCCCCCCAGATTAAAGTGGATTCAAACCAAGTCCCCCAGGACAAGGAAGTAAAATAAAAAATAATTCTAACTGCTGAAAAAGAACTAACCTTTTCATGTTCCTTGCAGAAGCTGGAAATCACCCGAAACTTCCCCCTCCCACTGCTGCCGGCCCCCTCCCACTGCTGCTGGTTTTGGTTTGTGGTTTTTGCCTTTAAAAGAAGCCTGTAAGCTGAGCTCTGGGCTGCTGCTCTCTCTCCGAGTGAGGCAGAAGCCCGTCTGCGCAAACAATTAAATCCTCTTGCTTGTTGCATCTCCTGGTCTTGGGACTCAGTCATTGGGGTGCAACCTCTGTGGACGTTGGGTACCCCAGACTGGGGGCCCAACAAAATCAGAAGTGACAATTTACTTCCATTCTCAAAACCTCTCATTGTAAAAATGATTAAACATAAATTCATGCTTGGCATCTGAAGCTCTCTCTTTGGGGCCCAGTTGCTCTCTCTTCCTCTGTCCCTAGGATGTAAATGAATGGCCCCATAAAACTAGCTCAGTCTTGCTCATCTAATTTCCTTTGTCCCACACAATTAACTGACTTCAAATTAGTTGCTAACATTTACATATTAGAAGGAATGGCATGAAAATTCAAATTCTCACTTATTAAAAGCTGAAATATCTGGCAACTTTGGACTCGTATGCCACAAAGAACTGAAGCTAGGCAGCTGGGGCACTTTCAAATGGAGCTAATGCATCCCAAATTACTATAGTCTTTGCCTGACTTGAGTCACACAGCTTGCAATTGGCTTGGGGCCTGTAGGCCTGTGAATTCATGATGCTGCTCTATAAACCTAGGACTCTGTCCAAATGTCTTTCCCAGGTGCACAGTATACCTTTGCTATGCTCTCTTGTTTTTCTCGAAAGGCTTCTCCTTCCATGTTTCCCATCTTCATGTCCCATTTCAAACACTACATCTTTCACAAAGCCTTTTCTAGCCAAGGGTTCCTGCCAAGCTTCTAAACCCCTAGGAGACTCTATGTTCTCCACAGAGCCAGTCATTGGTATTCCAGGTAGCCCAGGGAAGGGTAGAGATGTACACCTCTCCCCAGGTGCCTTCTTCCTCTCCTTAAAGATGGGGCAAGTCTTTCCTCATTCCTCTCCCCCAACCCCGGAGGTCTTCCTGTCTCCACAGGGGAAGGCCCATTCTGTCTGGCAGTGACAGGTGTGTCAGAGCACTACCTGGGTGTGTTCATTAACCTGGTTCTGAAGTTCGGTATTGGAAGGGCAATTGTTGCCACACAACCAAGACAAGATTTCCTGTTCAGGTTTTATCAGCAAATGATGCTAATGTTTTCATCTTCATATTTGTCAATATTGTACTTATCTCACAAGTTTCCAAATATAACCTTCTTTGAAAAAAAAAGATTTTTTATTTTAAGTGTGTGTGTGTGTGTACCAACAGAAGGTGTTGGATCCCCTAGAGCTAGAGTTATAGGCAGTTGTGAACCACATGGTGTGTGAGCCAAACTCTGGTCCTACAGAAGAACAGCAAGTGTTCTTAACCACTGAACCACCTCCCAGGTCCATTGGCCCTTTCTAACATCAACAATTCTTACTTTTCCTTGAATCTTTTTTGTTGGTTGGCTTGTTTTATTTTGAGACAACGTCTCCCCATGTAGCCCAGGGTCAAAATCCTCTTACCTTAGCCTCCTGAGTGCCAAAATTTTTAGATAGGTGACCCCACCACCCCGCCACCACCCTCCTTTCCTGAACCTTTGAAACAACTAGCAAAGTCCAGGCAGTCAAAAGGACTTATCGAATTAGACCAAAAGACATATAAATGTGCAAAAAATTCATGGAATAGAGTTTTTTTGGTATGTACATTGTCCTAGTTTGTTCTCTCCATTGCTGTAACAAAACACTCTGACCAATATCAACTTGGGGAGGAAAGGGTTTATTTAGCTTACATATCCTGAGTCATAGTTCATCTTGGATTCCAAGGTAGGAACTCAGGGCAGGAACCTGGAAGCAGGAGCTGGAGTACAGGCCACGGAGGAACACTGCTTACTGGCTTGCTCCCCTGGCCCCTGCTCAGCCTGCTTTCTTATGCAACACAGGCCCACCTGCCCAGGAGTGGCACTACCCACAGTGGGCTGGGCCCTCCCACATCACTCATCAAGAAGATGCCCTTCAGACATGGCCACAGGCCAGTCCAATAGAGGCAATCCCCCAATTGAGGCTCCCTCAACTCAGGTGTGTCAAGTTAACACTAAAGCTATCCAGCACATACATGCTTATAATAATTTAAATGTCTCATGCTGGGGACATACCTCAGTTGACAGAGCACTTACTTGGCATGCACAGGGCCCTGGGTTCAAGTCTAAGTACCATGAAAAAATAATAAAAATAAGAAGCAAAATCAAAGTAAAACAAATCATGTTAACAAAATACAGGTTATTCCATATATAGCATAAAATATTTATTTCCTATTTACACTTCATGTGTATGTAAGTCATATCACAAATCATAAAAAAGAATAAAACAAATGATGAAAAGCAAACATAAACCCTAAAACCCAGGGAAGAAAGCACTGCGTGGTATGAAGCCCATCAGCAGTCTCCGAGCTCTCACTTCTTGCCTCGTCTTGATTTCTTGTGTGTTTCCTGGCGAATGGTATTGTACTCCAGGATGGCCATTTGGGAGAGTCTCTGTAAGAACTGAGAGGGTGCTCCTGTGACAGGGTCGCTGAAGACCTGGCCTGCAAAGGAGGAAAGCAACTGATAAAACTGAACATGCACAGTAATGGGCTCTAGGATAGAATGAGTGAAACATTTGTCCCACACACGCCCATAAAACACTACTGGATCTTTGTATAATACACACCTGGGACTTTCTAGAAAGGTCAATGCCCACTATCTAACATGACTAGGGCAATAATGGCAAGTTGCCTTATAAACATGAAGTAAATAAAACATTAATGCTTTGTTTTAATCACATAAAACTAACGCTCTGGTTCTGCATCCTGCTTCTTAAGACATGAGTTGGCTGTAGGGTGTCCCCGACCGCTTTCCAAAGGTCAATGTCTAACATGACTAGGGCAATAATGGCAAGTTGCCTTATAAACATGAAGTAAATAAAACATTAATGCTTTGTTTTAATCACATAAAACTAACGCTCTGGTTCTGCATCCTGCTTCTTAAGACATGAGTTGGCTGTAGGGTGTCCCCGACCGCTTTCCGTCTCACCGGCAAGAACGACGCGGGAGGACAAGTCAGGATCCTTCTGCAGCAGTTTATTGTATGCGCATCTTACACTCTTAGAAGCTTAAAGACCGAAGACGCCGAGAAGCGGGAGAGCGGTTGCTTATATAGTCTAAAGGTCCCATCTATGACGTATAAGAAGCGGATTGGTTGCTGGAGATCACGCCACGGGAGGAGGCGAGGGAGAGCAGGCTCTTGTGCACGCCCCTTATGGGCGCAGCAGGATGTTTACTGTTAAGAAGGTCCGGATACCGGCGCCATCTTGTAATGGCGGCGGAGGCTGTGGCTCTCCACACACATCATGGCTTTTGGTGGTGACAACCTTGTGCATGTCAGGATGCTGAGCAGCATCTGGCCATCTGACCACTGGATACCAGAAACATTTTTCACCCTAGTCATGAGAAAAATGGCCAAAAGTCCTCTGGAAGGCAGCCACTCTGGGCAGGAATACTTTTATGAGAGAAGCAAAATGATAAAGTTGATGAGTATACATAGTAGGAGTAGACTTAGAGAAGTTTCATCTGCCAGTAAATATAACAGTTGCTTCCAGATTCCACTATTCTAAATAATAATACAATATTTGTATTTTATTATTTTCAAGCAAGAAGCTAACCCTTAACCTAACCCTAATTATTAACATGATCATAGCCTA